CCTCTTTGAAAAATAATAATATTAATTCAGGTTTTAAGCACAAAATTCAGAAACTTACAAAGAAAATGCTACAAAATTATTCTTCAGTAGTCACAAAACAATTCCAAGACCCTTTAAGCATTGTTTAGCTAACCATAAAGTGTGAATTAGTTTAACATCTTATCGTCTACAGATATCTTAGGGCAAGCCTGAGTAAACATTCTTTCTGAGAACCATTTGTACAAGGAAGAGAAGTGGGTGGCAAATTTCTTAGAACAAATCAATGTTAATGGTAACTGCATTCCTGATCCCAACAACATTTAAAGTTTTTCAAAAGTCAAGCTTCAAATAAGAAACAGAACTAAGGCTAAAGAAAATATGGAGTCAAAAAAGTAAGATAGAGTCTAATCAGGCCCTATGTCAGCCAGTTCAGTTATGCTAAATGCCTCAAGCTTTGAGGTGTGCTTATACATTCTCTCCTATTGATCAAGCCAGCACTATGCGTGCTGGTCACTCTTACCCACATAGGAGTAACCTTTCTTCCTTAAGGACTTTAGTTGGACACTCTGAAGTTTTATGTTGTCATCAGTGATTGATTACCTTGCCATGCTATTAGGTTGCATATTCAAGGTGAGCTGGCTCCTATCTGAGTTAGTGTTGGAAACAGGGCCACATTGGAAAAACAGTTTGGCTTTTTAAGGCTAATTCAAGATGCAAAATCAGTCTCCTCTGAAAGTTTTGGCTCATTCAAAATACATAATTCTTTGCATGACAAAGGAGTAGCAGTGGAATTAAATATCTATAAGCATTTTATGGTACATTTGATTATTCATACAAAGATTATTATAGTGATAGTGATCATTAGTGTCATTTGTAATCGTGAGCACAACCAAAACCAACACCTTTGGAACCAGTTACAAATATCGAAAAGGTGGGTAAGACTTTGGGAGTATGTAGCCAAATGAAATGCTGGCAAATTTTCCAGATATTTTATTCGATTTCTCTGGTGATATTTACCAAATAAAACAAGAAATATTAGATATGGTACAAATTCCCCTTTGTTAAGCTAAAGTAAAACTGACGGGAATTCTATTATCTAGTAAGTTCAACTTTAGCAAGAGACTCTAATTATTTTTGTTGAGCAACGTCATAAACAACTTGAGCCATTGTTGTTAAATGCTGTCTAGTCAGTTCCGATTCATAGAGATCCTGTACAGGGTTTCTGAAGGGTTGCTGGTGAGTTTGGACTACTGGTTTTATGTTTAGCGGTCCAGTGGTTATCCGAGAAGCAAATGAATTACAAATTGGGTTGTCAAATTGAAGGTCACCTTAACAGGGTAGAAAGGCTTGGTGAAAAACCCACCCTAATTTGGGTTTCTTAGATAGGGACCTGTCGCTGGAGAAGGATATCATGTTTGGTAAGGTGGAGGGTCAGAGAAAAAGAGGAAGACCCCCAGCGAGATAGATTGGTAAAGTGGCAGCATCAATGGGCTCAAGCATGGCAATGATAGTGAGGTTGGTCCAGGTCAGGCAGTGTTTCGTTCTGCTGTGCATAAGGTCGCTATGAGTTGGTACCGATTCGATGGCACCTAACAACAACAAGCTAGGGTTTTAGTATGTCATTTGATCTGCCTACTTTAAAGGCTCTATTGTTATTATTTAGTGCCATCAAGTTGGTTCTGACTCACAGAGACCCTGTGTAGGGTTTCTGAGTCGCAGCTGGTGAGTTTGAGCCACTGACCCCATGGTTAGCAGTTCACTGTTTATCCTACAGTATCATACAAGGATTCGATAGTTCCATTATGATGAGTAAAGATACTCAAATCAGTGGCCCAGTGCATTCATTTCAGGCACTTACTACTTATTTACCCAATTTAATAAATATATTCTTCTCCAATTTTATTCTATTTATAAAATCATAAGAAAGAGTTACTAGAAATAGAAGAATGAAGTCAAAGGAACTTGCATTCTAAATGAAACTACTAAGAAAAAAAGCTACAAATATGAAGCAGAGTTAATCACATAATGTTGTTGTTGTTAAGTGCTGTCGAGTTGATTCCAACCCATAGCAACCCTGTATAGGGTTTCCAAGGAGTAACTGGTGAGCTTGAACCACCGACCTTGAAGTTCAAATGACTTTGCAGTCTGACACATTAGCCACAGGGCCACACCAGGACTCCAGTCACGTAATAGCTACAATTATAAAGCAAAGCACACAAAGTTCAGCAAGAGTCATGGTATCTTAAGATCAGCTGTCTACCTACAAATGTTGTCTGCTTCTGGCCACGAGAACATTTTAAGATGATTTTCAGTTCTTCAGAGGGTTGACAATTTCATGGAGGCATTTTTTACCTTATTAAATTGTGACAAACTAATCCAGTTCTCAACTTCCTGTAATTTGATTGCACATGGATTAATGAGGAGAACTAGATACACTCCCTTCCAACAAATTTCTAGTGAGTTCTTTAGTTGATGTCTGTTCTACTATATATGTTCTCCTAGAGCTATATGAGGCAGGTTTCAAGAGCCCAATTTTTGTTCAGAAAAGACTTCTCTCATCTCTGAAAGATATTCCTTAGGATATTGGATTAAAGATTGACAATATTTTTATAAAGGTAGGTAAGACCTTTATCATTCATTCCCAGTCTTCTTATCAGTCCCAGTCAATAATTTAGTAACAGGATCTTGATAACATCTTAACTTTTTCATGTCTCAACCTTGTCTATCTGGTCCATTGTTCTAAAGTCATTTCTTAAAGGTTGGAATTGTCAGCAAGTAAATTTGGAGAGTCACTGACCTGTCCTTTTCATACACATAGATATAATTAAAGAAGCAGCTCGTTTGACTGCCACATCAACAAGGCTATTTCCTCTCATTTTTCAGTCTAGAATATTCCTTTCTTCTGCTGCCCCAAATGAACAGTGACTAATTGTAGTCCTTGAATGAACACTTGCAAATCTTTAAGTCCCTAGACACTACATTACGAACTGTGAAATAGAACAATATCAGGTGGATTGAATAAAATGGCCCACAAATAGATATTTTAACTAAGTAACCAAGTCCCATAAGGCATATGGGATAATGTACTGGACTGCAAGGTTAGTTTGAACTGCAAGGACAGTGGTTTAAGTTCACCAGCCATTCCTTGGAAACCCTATGTGGGGTCACTATGGTTCAGAACTGACTTGGTGGCACTTGACAACAACAACAACACAAGCAACATCAATAATTGCTTTTTATGTGCCTTAACATCTACTTTATTTCACAAAACCTCATTTCATGCTACTAATAGAAACACAATATTCATCTAGTAAGGTACAAACGCCTCCTCCTTGGAAGACTTACAGGAAATCGAATATTATTCAATTTCTAAAATCATAGCTCAGATTTTAGACTCCAGTTATGGTCTTTGCAACTTTGCCAAGTTTTATTCACAGCAACTTCTAACTCAAGAGTTACAATATCTCAAACTACTTAAAGTCTGATGGTTTCCAGTAATGCAAAAACCAACTATTTCAGTAATGAATAGCATTATACTTACTGAGGAGTCCTGGTGGCACTATAGGATAAGCACTGGACTGCAACATCAACAGGTGAAACTCACCAGCCTCTCCTCAGAAACCTATATAGGGTCACTATAAGTCAGAACCGACTCAATGGCACTTAACAACTACAACAACTTACTATAAAATGTTCAATGAAAAGGATTTTTCTCATCTCCTAATTCTTTTTAATATTTTTAAAGTTTCTTTTCTGGTCTCAATCTTGCATTTCTTTCATATTTATTTTTCCTCTTACTTAATTAATTGAATATAGCGTATCGAGAACCAGTCCAAATGTGCAGTAAAAAATCCAAACCTATTTCCAAGAAAGAAGGGGAACGTTTCTTGCATCCAGAAAACAGAACATAAAACCTGAACAACACTCTCATATAAAACCAATAGCAGTTCTTTACTGTGCTACGTCTAATGTTGTTAAGTTAGTTGATGTCCGTTCTACATGATTCTGGAACAGCCACAATCTGCAGCTGTTTCTACGCAAAAATCCTGGGAATCTTGATTGAGTCTAGTGGTTTCCATGTTCAAAATACCAGTCCTTTCCATAAATCCAATATAGTCTGTCTTTTTCTTGAACTATTATGGTCAAGCATTTTCAGTACGTCAGCAAAGAGCTGATCTGTAGATGACAGATGTGGTCATTATTAACTTACGATAATAAGTTTAATATGGTCATGATTAACTTATGATAATAATACTTCTTGGATCTTTTGACCTTTCTGTTAGCAGCTGAGCATTTAACCATTGTACCACCAGGGCATCTTTGGGCGGGGACCCTAGATTCTGCAATGCAGTCAAGCTGCAGTGTGACGTTGGTATTGCTGACCTAAGAACTACACATTGAGTAGTTCTAAGTGCTAGGCAAGTATTGGTTTATAGAATATCAAATGAGGCTGGATATAAAAGCAAAAGTTCCAGAAACTTTCAGGCTGAATAGCTGAATTGTACAACCAAAAACACCCTCAGTGATAGTTTAAAAATTGTTGCCTGAATTTTGACATGGTAGCAGATGAGAGTAGATTTTTCTTGTGAGAAAGGAGACCAGTTGGCTGTAAGATGGGAATTCTTAAGTTCTTCTTCCAGATTTTAGGGGAAGATTCTTCTCTTATGATCTTGAGGATATCATTGTATTTTGCTCTTAAGCCTGCCTTATAGGAAGATGTTCTTGTATTTCAATACTAAAACTAAGGTTGTTGTTGTTCAGTGCCATTGAGTCCGTTCCAACTCATAACAATCCTGGATAGGATGTCCAAGGAGCAGCTTGTGGGTTTGAACTGCTGACTTTGTGGTTCAAAGTCCAGCACTGATTCTACAGTTTCCATGATATAAGAAATATAGTTATGAGATTTAAAATGCTGATGGATGAGTTCCCATTTTTCCTTGTTTAGAGGTGAAATATATTTGCATTTTTATTATATCCAAAATGATGGGAGTCATGCAGATCAACACATTTCTTTTTAACAGGAATCCTTTGTATTTGAACCCAATTGCCTCTTCAAAGTGGATGAATTTGGCTTCTTTCTGACCTGGAGAAGTGAAGGCAAGGTAAGTTACAGGAATATCTGCTGTCTGTTTTAAGCTGCTTTATTTCTCAACAAGATCGATTCTTCTCTGCTCATTAATTAAATCAATCAAGATTTAAAAAATATGTTTCCATGTGACAGGCTCAGGGGATATGATGGTAATCCAAAAAAAATCATCCTTGTCCTCAAAGATTCCAGTCTTGGAACAAAGTCAAATGTTTAAAATGAAATTTTTTTTAAGTTCTACACCTTTGAATGTTGTGAAAGAAAAGTATAGACATTAGGCAGTTAAAACAGGCATGTCAGATTTAATCTTGGAGGTTAAGGTGGTTTCTAGAAAAAGAAATTGTTCAAGCTGAAGTCTAAAGGTGAGTTAAGACTATGTTCATTTTGTTATGTCCCAAAACTTAAACTTTAATGCATGACTTTTGTATCCACTTAATGGAAGTTTGAATTGACTTAAGAAAGGAAAATTGTAAGTTAACATTATCCTTGTTTAATATTTTATATACGCGTATATATTCAGTGATACACAGACATGATTAATGATATTATATGTAAAATAAACATTAAAAATAGTTATTCAGAATTACAATCAATTATATATATTTAAATGGATGTTTTGGGTCTTGATTATTTCTGATTGTTGGAAAGTGTTGTTACTTTCTTTTCACTACCTCTTCCACCCTACTCTAAACAGCATTGCCTTGATGATTAGAAACGTTCATTAAGCACTTTGTGCCACAGGCTTGACTGAATTTAAGCTTACTTGCTGTGTTGCATTCTCTCCCTTCAGGAAGGACAAGTTCTAGAATGCTCCCTTATCAACAGTATTCGGTTGGGAGCTATACCAAAGGTATGGGTGACTGATGTTTACTGTTCTTTTAAACAAATTTTCTTAGGTTAGAAATGACCCTCAGAAATTATATAGCCTGTTACTTCACCAAAATCATAATCTGTGAACTAAACAGAGATATGGTTTAGAAATCCTCTCATCTCTATTTATTGAGTGATTAATGCAGTCTAGCATTATCGATAACTGTCTTACAAGTATTATGAGTCATTGAAAATGAAGACTATTGGGTAGACCAACAGCAAAGAAATAATTCCCTTAACTGAGAAATTAGTTTGACAATCCCTTTTTTTAGAGCAAACAGTGATTCACCCTGGTCTGTGGTTGATGTGGAAATGTAAATGGCTCAGGTAGTTCCATATTTGTGCACCTGTGCACGCAGACCTTGGCTCACCTTGAAGGTTCAGTTACCTTTGAGAGAGAGAGAAAAAATAAAGTGACAGTGCATAAATCAGCCTTCTTTAGAGTGATTGATTTGTTCGAATAAGAAACTGTTTGCATAGTAGTGCTATGAAGTTAAATACATTTCTTTTTAGAATATTCTGGCACAGTATTATTCCCTATTCCTTAATAGTGTTGCAGGTTTTAGATGTTAAAAAAAAAAATACATTTATCATTTTGTTTTAGATATATATATCAGTTAAATTCTCTGTATAACTGTATGTTGGCATTTTGTCCTGAGTTTTGTTGGAGAACAGAGGCACAATTGTGTTTGCTAATTCGTGTAAATGTACACAGCCTTCATTCTGGTGGAGGATGCCAAGACTTCTAGAGATGAAAATATTCACTCTTTGTGATCCAGGTTACTGGAAAAATATAATATCACTTTTGAGACTAGCCTGTGATAGTGTTAGTTGTGATGTCCTACTTGTTCCAGTCTTCTATGGGAATCCTCAACAGCTGTCCTCTGCAGTGGGAGGACCCCCTCCATCTGTGTGGACACAATTTCTATCCAATTTACCATTGTTCAGGACCTCACAGAACTAGAACCAAAATTGAAGGAAAGGCCTGACACCTAGTTTTCTAAATCAATAATATTATAATATCTTTCTCATTAAAACAATATTAAGTAATATGTAGAGTTATAGATTTCACCTCCACAGGTTTTATAATCATGCTGCATGCCTGAGAATTTTAGATAGAAAGGAGAAATATGCCTCATGTATGTTAAGAGGTCATACTGTTATTTCTTTTTACCATGTTTCCACTATCCTCTGTGGTCTAACATCTCTTTCCTATACTGGAAATCTTTGTACAGGACCCCAAAATCCTGACTGCTCTTGAAGCTGTTGGAAAATCAGAAAATGACCTGGAAGGGCGGATCATGTGTGTCTGCAGTGGTACAGATCTGGTGAACATCAGTTTTACTTACATGGTGGCTGAAAATCCGGAAGTATCCAAGGTAGTGTCAGTTCCTCATTTTAACAGCCAACCTCCCTCCTTACCTCTCACTGTGGTGTTTGTTGTTGCAAAGTTCTATCTAGTTGGTTCCAACTCATAGTGACCCTGTATTGGGTTTCCAAGGAGTGACTGGTGGGGTGGATCTGAGCCAATGACCTTGCAATTAGCAGTCTAATGCTTATCCTACACACCACACCAGGACCCCTGATTCCCATCTTTA